ACACACACACACACACACACACCTAGCTGTATTTCAAAAGAAGAAAGGAAGAGCTTTATGTTTATCTAGATGTCATAATTTCTGATTGACTAATATCTAAAGTAAGAGAAATTTTGGATACGCTACCAAAACAAAAATATCATACACATATTCATATTATGTCAAATCATATTTTCTGCTATTAAAGCCATTCTAGCACCATGTGAATCCATCCTTCTTTAGAGTTAGCATCCTACATAAAGATATAGGAAAAATTATTCCCCAAATGTATGTAGCCAACCCCACCCTCCTGCCAGCCATATCTGCAATAAGAAAGAATCATCAAGTCCATAAGAATTAGTGTGAGCAGAACAGTTTTCAGAAATGCTGCGCAAACCAAGGGTTAAGTGGAGGTGCAGATGGAGAAGAAACCTAAGGCAGCTCAGTGATTATTCTCAGTGGGCACTTGCTACGGTAAATATTACAGGACAGCAGGAAATAGAAGATGAATGAAATGGATTTGGGATAGATACCATCAATGTAAATTGTTCTAAACTTGACTGTAAAATTTCTGTAAGATTTCTGTAATAGAATTGTCAAAGTCTGGAATGCTCTACCTGATCCAGTTGTCTCAGCTACAAATTTTCACAGTTTCAGTCACAAATTGACTTCCGTGGACCTTACTTCATACTTAAGTGGTCAGTAGAAAGGCCATGCATGTGCACTAACGTGCCTAGCGTCCCTGTCATTGTATTTTTTTCTTTTATTCTTGTTCTCTTTTTGGTTTGACAAATTCTAATAAAATAGATAAATAAATAAAATAAATGTTGATGAATAACGACCCCCATCTTCCCTGCGTAGAATGGCCATGGTGAAAAATGTAGGACCCAGAAGTTCAACAAATTTGCAATGCTACAGATTTCCCACCAGGAATGGAATTACAGGTAGGTGGCAATCAGGGTGACTTCAAATAATATAATATTCAGTTTACTGTGAATTGTAAATAGATACCAAGTTGTGTTTAATGCATCTGACAATTCAGTTAATAGCACATGCAGAATTGAGGCAAGCGCATGCACGATTTTAGATACTACTAATTTTTATATGTATAAAATGGAGAAAAAGAAAGATTCTGTTAGAGTAGAAGCGTAGAATGAAGAGGTTTATTACAAAATTGATGTAATTAAACAGCATGAACATGGTCCAGGAGAAGCAATAATAGGACAAGATGTTGAAATGTCTAAGTAAATGGTAGAATTTTTGGGTTATATTTTGTTTTATACAATTACTGTTTAATTTAATTTAGAAATTTAAATTAGAAGTACATACTTTTTAATCATTACTGTAATATTCTACTAGTATATGTATAAAATATTATGTTTACATTTTTTTTACTACCTATTATTGAACTGGAAACAATTGCCATATTTTCCATAGAAATATTACTTCAAGTAGTACAGATTTGAATAATGTGACCTTTTCATGGGATTCATTAACCCACTATTATTTTCAAGATGTACTTTTGGATATTTATTGGTAGTGTTATTGTTAAAGTAAAAGCCAAATATAAAGATAGAACTTTGTTCATAAAACATATTTTTAAAATATTTTTTTCATTTTTTCATTATGTTTATTTGGATAGCATGTAATAAACAAAACAATATTTTGATTACTTCACCTTACCTATTTACACAGGAGCAAAGCTGAAGTCAAAAGGACTTACTGTAGAATAAACATATTTTGAATTGTACTGCTAGCAAAATTATCTACTGTATTTAATTAAAAATCATTCTGTACTGATTCCCTGACTATTTGTCTTATAAACACATTCTTACTACAGCATTTCTGCCTGCAATTTCAAATTGACTGAAGTAGGTAGGAAAATGTATTGATTGTTAGTAAATTTTGCTTACTATACATGAAAGATTCATCTGTACATGTTTTTTTTTATTAGCAGTTTTTTAAAATTATTTTTTCCCTTCTACATCACCTTACAGTCATTACATCAACATTGTTATGTCATCATACTGTACATGTATATAATATTTCGCTTCTATNTTTTTAACATTTTCTAATGGTGGTGTGCCTCGTGATTTTTTTCATGAAAAAAGTGTGCCTTTGCACAAAAAAGGTTGAAAAACACTGCTCTAAGAGGTTCTAGGTGTCCTGGTGGACCCCCACTTGAGTGTGCTACAACTGGCAAAAAAGTCAACATATTCCTAGGCTCTCTCAAGATCAAGGTAAGTGACAGCACTGCACCATACCACACTGGCGAGACCACCTTTGGAATGCATCATGCAAAACAATGCTCATAACAATATAAAAAAAAGATGCTGAGCCCCTAAAAGAGGAAATAGATGATAAAGGAGGTTAAATCTATGAAAGGGGCCAGGTATGTTTAGCTAAACAAAGAGATGGGAGGTATAATTGTCTTCCTATAGTTGAAGAGCTATTACAGAAAACTGACTTTCAATTTATTCTTCATAGCACTTGAGGTTAGGGCAAGAAGTAATGGGTGAAACCATCAGATCCAATCCAAAATAAAATAGTCTCCCACCCAAATTTGTGGGTAGTCCATCATTGGAGATTTTCAAGAAAATATTGGACAACTATTTGTCCAAGATAGTATGAAGATTTCCACCTTAAGTAGGGGATTGGACTAGAAGACCTCCAAGATCCAGATTTTATTTATTCTATGATAGAATAGTCCATGTTTATAAAACCTTTCTACAGGTCAACAGGGTTGGGGCCAACAAAACCATGTTAAACATTTTTGTTGTTATTATTTTTGTTGTGTTAGTTGTCTAGAGTAAATCAGGAGTAGAAAGGACTATGAAGGGTTTGGTAGAAAAACATTAATAAGGAGAATGATAGAATATGAAAAACATTGATCCTGAATAAAATATTATGATATTGTGATGATCAACGGCCATTTGATGTGCCCTGATTTTCATATTGCATCCAACCTTAAAGCTTTTTCACCATGTTTGCAAAATTATGGCACAATTACCCCTTGTTATTAAAATATTAAAAATAAGTTAATATTAACATTGAATAATATAAGCTTATTTTCATTCCATTTTAATTGAAATTTTGTTGTTAGAAATGATCCCATGAAGTCGTATGGCAGGATACAGGTAGTCCTTGACTTACAATCATTTAGTTAGTGACTGTTTGAAGTTACAAAACCGTTTTTCACACTTATGATCTTTGCACATCCTCATGGTTACGTGATCAAAATTCAGATGCTATACATACATACATGTGTGTGTATGTATGTGTGCATATGTATATGTATATGTATGTATGCTTAACAGCTGTGGCAAGAAAGGCGGTAAAACAGGACAACACTCAGTTAACAACTGTCTTACTTAGACAGTGGAAATTTTGGGCTCAATTGTGGTTGTAAATCAAGGACTACCTGTATAAACCTAAGTCTTAACATAATTCATTATAGAATATAATAAAAAATATGGTTTGAGCTATAATATTAGGAGAATCCAAAATGAGCACAGCATATGTAAAAATCTGAAATTCTGTTCCAAAACCCGGGACAAAATATGAAATCCTAATCCTGTTACTGTATGTAAGTAGACAGCACTGCATTTAGCATAGCTTGTCAATCATTTTTAAAATCTTGGAATAGTGTTGCTTTATAATGAAGCACTGTGGCTTCCAGCAAAGTTGTTCACAAAAATGAAACAAAACAAAACAAACAAACACACTGAGTTTCTTTGTTTGGCATTCTTGGGAAACCTAGTACATATTACAGAGTGATCAGAGATATCAAACACTCATAGACAGGAATATCTTGAACTATTTCTGGTTTGGAAGATGCTGTCAACCCACCCTTAGAATACTACTGTGTTGTTCTATGCAGGGAAATAGAATGATCAGGTATTCTTCACACCTTTGTCCTCTAGTCAAACATATCTGGAAGAGATATGTATCTGAAATCATTTGCTGAACAAAATGTCAAGCCTTTCTTTAAAAAGAAAGGGAAAAAAAGCAGAAACAACATGGCTGCCTCATAAAATTTTAAACATCCCTCACACTTTGATTTTTTTGGCCAATTATTTTTCCATTATTTACTGTACAGAAAACCTTCAGTTTTTTTTCATTTTTAGGGGGGCTTTTCTCCTTGATTCCCTCAAAGGTCTAAGAGTTGGTTACTCCGGTCATCTCAACTTTTAATTCATAGCTGTGACTGTACATTCTAGTTCTTTATGTCACTTTTCATATCTGTATTAATGTAGTAAACAGTATTAATGGCAATCTCAGTAAGAAGCCTAGTGCTGTTTTATATGTAGTACACAAGGTAATTAATTGCCAGGAGGCTAACTGCTGAAAGAAAATTTTAATTAGATGGAAACCTTTTTTGTACTTTTAAAATACTTCCTTTACAGCAACAGAACACATTAGAATTTCCTCTGGGCTCTATTGTAGAAGTTATGTTTAGATGTTTATATAAGTTATTCCTTCCAATATGATATCAGCCACACATGTTCAAAGTACAACTCTTATTTTGGCTGATGCAAATATTTGAATTAGAGATGGACAATCTTTTTTTGATCTAAAGTCTGATTCAGCCTCATTGTGGCATGCTGAGGCTGCATTCCAGTAGTGAGCAGGGTGAAACCTACATTAATATTCAATAAATTAAATGCATGAATAAATACATTAAAAATTCTGTTTCTAAATGCAATCAACCAGCCACATGTTTTTAAAAAGTTTAGAAAAAGATCACAAACATCTTAGATTCATTCAAAATATATATTTTTTATCTTTGCATTCTTGAACAAAATGAATTTTGCACTGCATCTCCCTCTCCCTCTCTCCCTCTCTCTCTCTCTCTCTCTCTCTCTCAAACACACACACAAACACACAAACAAAGTATACACTGAGCAGTAATCAAAAATACTCACATCAGAATTAAAACGAAGTTGACACACATTGCAGGAAATGACTTGTTTCTTCTTTAAAGGGAGTGACACGCCAAATGTGTGGTTTATGACAGCTTTTTGCACTGGGTCCATCTAGGAAACGAATAATAGCATATTGATATTACAAAAAAAAATTGTTTCTGAGAAATTTATGTTTTTAAAGAAAGCTCTAAATCGGAAAACTAATGACCGCAGTGAACTTACTTATTTGATTTTCTATTTGGCTTTTCTGCTGTGGCAAGTTCAAAGCAGCTTATTAAGTTTTTCTGCTGCTTTACCATTTGTGCTAAAGAAAATTAGTTCTCATAAGAAATATTTATCACATGGCATTACTATAATCCCTTCCTGACTTGCTGGAACTGATAAGTGTTTGAAAGCTGGTGGTGGCAGAAAATCTTCTCCTTTTGGTGTTGGGTGACATCATTCTCCTTACCTCTGGTCCTTGCTTTGGAAAAACTCATGGCCTTCATGACAAGCACAGGCTTGTCTGAAGTCGACTTTAGGTCAATTCCTATGGGCGCTCATAATTTAGATCTTGTGTTTGCTTTAGAGAAGATCTTACATTATCTGGAAATGGAGAGGCTTTTCATTATTCTGTTGCTATGATTGGATCATGCCTTGATCCAGTTACAATTAAGAGTAAAACATGATAATCATGGGGCAGCAGGCCTGATTTGGATGGCCCATTCCCAATGCTTAATGGATCCTGTTGGAGAGTTTCCCAGCTCACTGGCAAACAGTTTAGTTTAGTGCCTCATAGACCACTGACATTGGGAACCGAATTGAATACTGGAGTCTATTGCCCACAAGCAGCCTCTTTCTAGTGCAATTTCCTGGCTGGCAACTTGGCTGCTGAGACTCTCTGGAAAATGTAACATCAGAAGTACTTGAAATGCTGGAGAAAGGCAAAACATATATTCAACCAATCTCAAGTATGTAACAATGGTGAGACCTACACTGTGACATTAGACAGGTGAAACATACTTATTTTTCTTTCTTTACTGAATTTAGTTAGCTAGTTAGTTTATTATACTTGTATGCCGCCCTATTCCCGAGGGACTCAGGGCGGCTAACAAACCAATGGGGAAGGGGGAAATACAAAAAACAAACAAGACAAAAAACAAGATACACAAAACAGATTAAAAAACAACACAACAATCACAGCAATTCAAGTGGGGCTGGGAACTCAACAGCCCCAGGCCTGCCGGAACAGCCAGGTCTTGACGGCTTTGCGGAAAGCCTGAAGGGTGGTGAGGGTCTGAATCTCCACGGGGAGATCGTTCCAGAGGGCCGGAGCAGCCACAGAGAAGGCCCTCCCCCGAGGGGTCGACAGTCGACATTGTCTAGCTGATGGTACTCGGAGGAGGCCTAATCTGTGGGATCTAATTGGTCGTAGGGAGGTAATTGGCAGGAGGCGGTCTCTCAAGTACCCAGGTCCGATACCATGTAGGGCTTTAAAAGTAATGACTAGCACCTTGAAGTGCATCTGGAGTCCAACAGGCAGCCAGTGCAGCTCGCGTAGGATAGGTGTAACGTGGATGTACCGAGGTGCACCCACAATCGCTTGCGCAACTGCATTCTGGATAAGCTGAAGTGGCAGACTATTGTCAGGTGACACTGTTTAACTTTATTAACTCTCTTTAAGAAGGAGCCATCAGACAGATTGCTCATCTGGCCAGTATAATTATTTGCATAGCACTTGCCAGCAAAGTCATTTTGGCTCTTAATGGACAAATCTGTATTGGTGACTGACCCTGCTGTCTGTAATTCTTTTTGCACTATGAGTTCCGAGAAAGTAGAATGAGTGAAGTTCTGCTGAATTAGACTATCCTCTAGCACATGCAGGTTGGACCTTTGCTCAATCTTGTGGTCTTTAATAAATATTTGCTGGTTTGGGGTGGAAGATTGTTGAAATGGTGGTGACACGTAACCCTAGAAGAAGCGGATTTTCTGGAGACTGAGGTTAGGCCTGGGTATGGGACTGAGGTGATACTGATCACTCTCCTGGATAAGTTCTATTGAGACCTGGATGAAGTAATCCATTTCTCCTTGTCTGTCAGTCCTCTGAGGTAAGATATGACAGACACAGGAATAAATACTAGAACTCTGATTAAATGTTATAAGCTATAATGATAGAATCTTGAAAGCCTGACAGCTTTTCCCACCCCCTCTTCCACCCATATAGAGTCAATATGGGACAATCTTGAATTTCTTTTTTACTTCCCTGTTTTCTGGACTCAGAGAATCAGAGTTTTCTGATTCAGAGAATCTTTTCTCTGAATGTTAGGATTGCTGTTTTGGCTCAGGCAGTTTTGTTCTCTGTGTAGAGTATATTGTCGGCTACTCAGAGTTCTTTTGGGATTAGGGGACCTTAACAAATCTAATACACAATTGGGTTTCAGGACCCTAATGTTATCCTACAATGGGGGTTCCTAAACCTTTGGCCATCATATCTCCCTTCAATGTATTTTTAATGTACGCACTTCTCTAAAATTTCAAACAACAATGAACTCAATGAACTCATGAACAATAAAAACAAATAAAAAGCACAATGAAGATTTTTAAAAATAAAGACATAAAAAAGTAAATGTTCTTCGCATCTCCCTTGGACTCTCTGCATCTCTCCAAACACTGCCCTAGAAACTCAATAAATCATACATTTGCTCTGCACCATTTAAAGATATACAATTCTTCTGTGTGTGTGTGTGTGTATGTGAGAAAAGACAAAAGTTGAAGAAAAACAAAAAAGAAAGAAAAATATATAAAGACGTGACTTTTTTATTTCTTCCCAGTAAAAACATATTTCAACCTCCATATTGAAATATTTTTCCATGGTTTTTTTCTAATTATTTATCCACTAGTCCTAAAAGGAAAATTCTGGCTTCAATTGAATATTGATCTTTAAAAGCCTATATATCAAAGTGTGTATTGGTATCTCAATTTTTCTTTTTTACACATTATAAGTTGTAATCTTCTATCATGTTTCAGTCTTCAGGTTAGATCCCGACTATGCATGACCAGAACCTCATTCACAAATTGCTATGCTGGAAAAATGTAATATCCCTTATTCGGGTGACCTGCAAAAAACTGTTCTAGCAGTTTCAGTCTGGGGGCTGCAGAGGCTGGGAGGAATCATTTTCTCTTTTTCTCAGGTGTGATCTTCCTTTACATTTCAAATATTTAAATCTTCTTGGAGAGAAAGGTTTCCTTTGTTAATCCCACAGGAAATAAATAAGCTTCGTAATTTTCTAATGTAAAAGAAATTGGGAAAACCATTCCTGAGGTGTTTTTTTTTTAATGCACTAAAGCACTTTTTTTATTAGCAAGATGGGGAAAAAATGGACACATATTCTCTAATGTCTTTAATTTTAGAATCAACAAACAGCTGACATGCAAGAATAGAACTGGTGTTCAATGATACGGCGTGTGAGACTTTGAATCTCAAATAAGACAAAAGTAAAGCCAAGCAATCTGTGCCCAGAGAAATGTAATAGAGGTATGAACCAATCCTGTAAGGGATGCATCCAAAGATGGGCAGGTGTACAATTGAAGTAGTTGAATAACCCTAGTTCCACTGGGTTCTGATTCTTTTGGAAAGGATATTTTGGGTACAAATGACTGAAGAGTATGGAATTACAGCAGCAGCACTGTCATTGCACCTATGAATCAGATAACCTGCAAAGGAAGGAATACTGCTAATGATTCAGTCAGAGGCCATGATGCTATAGGAGTAAGGTAAAGGTTCCCCTCACACATATGTGCTAGTCGTTCCTGACTCTATGGAGTGGTGCTCATCTCCATTTCAAAGCTGAAGAGCCAGCGCTGTCTGAAGACGTCTCCGTGGTCATGTGGCTGGCATGACTAAACGGCGAAGGCACATAGAACACTGTTACCTTCCCACCAAAGGTGATTCCTATTTTTCTACTTGCATTTTTACATGCTTTCAAACTGCTAGGTTGGCAGAAGCTGGGACAAGTAACAGTTCACTCTATTACGTGGCGTCAGGGATTCGAACTGCTGAACTGCCAACTTTTCTGATTGACAAGTTCAGTGTCTTAGCCACTGAGCCACCATGTATAGGAGAAGAAGAACTATAATGCGAGACAGTATGGCACCAGAATGCACTGTTTGAAGCCAGTTATCTGGATATGAAGAAAACCGATACCTTGGAACTGAAAAAATCCAGTAACAAATATTTTTTTTTTGTTTAAACTATCAGGGCTATGGAAAGACTACATAGCAAAACATTAAACTGGTAAATAGAGCAAGCTACTATAAAGTGAAAGATGCAGCAATAGGATTATGGGTATGTGAAAGTATGCATCTTGCAATCTATATATGCAAATCAGATTCTATTCTATTTACCCAAAGAACAACAATCAGTAATTATTTTGAAACAAGAATGTCTTAAAAATAGTTAAAGGGGTGAAAATCTAACATTCTATAGATCTGAGCTAGCCATTCTTTCTAGGAACACTTAGATCTCAATTTGGAGAAAAAGAGAAATAATCTGTAATAACTCTAATGATGGCTTGAAAGCAACAGGGAAGTTTGGTGTGGAGCTTATCTTGCAAAAAACAGAACCCAAAGTTAATTAATGGAACCATATGAACCTTGAAAATGAACCAAGTATTTGATGAATGGTTGATTGGGGAAAGATCAAGTTCAAAGTTAACATTTGGAGTTTGAGGCTGATGAGGTCAAGCAAGTATTCACTCCAGAAATAAAAGGTTTCAGAAGTATAGTGGGATGCTTGCTCTCCATCCTGGGTCACCCATTGAGTGATAAAGTTGAAGATGATATTGAATAAACTGAAAAGGCATCCAAATCATTACTGTCAAATTAAGAGATGAGCATGACTTCTGACAGGGGAGACCAAATGTTCTCAGCAGATTCACCTTATTAACTGAGAGGAAGACAACGATCTTGGTCAAAAGCCTATGCTAAGCCGTAACATGGATATGAGATCTGTCTCAAAAGAACATCTTGAAGGAGAGAAAAATCTGGGGGATGAGAGAGCAATTGCTATTTGTTATATGATTGGGCATTTTAAGAATTCAAGAAGAAGAGGAAATGATCATGTAAGATCTTGGTGACTGTGAGATGGCCAAAGACAAAGATATTGACTTTGATAATTCTGAAAAATAGAGGGGTAATCAGAAGTTTATATCCTGATTTTCCCCTTTTGAGGCAGATTCCTATCTCTGAACAAAGAAGGAGTGGATAACACAAAGTACATCAATAACCCGTCCATCAATAATCAGAGAAAGCAGAGTTTGAGAAGCCCATGGTAGAATGGAACTAAGGACTTTGGAGATGGTGTTCAGAAGGCAACAGATCATTTATTCCTCTTTTTCTTGTTTCTCTGCTTGGAATTGGTTGTAGTATTTCTCTTAGAACGTTCGCCACCCTCAATGGCTAAAGCTAATAGTGGCACAAAAATCCCATGAGCAATGGATAATTTGACTGACACGAGGCAGCCAGCAGACTTTTTTGGCGACATGGTAAGAGAGTTGGAGAAAATGAGCCTAGTGTCTCTAAGTTTGCTCCCAGAATGTAGCTCACAAATTAGAATGATTGGGATTATTGTTTAGAAATGACTGGCAGTATTTACAAATGTCTACAATAGACTACATACATACATTTTCCAACAGATGTAAAAATTTGCTTCCATAATCCAACAAGAAAAATAATGCTGGTGCTTGTGAAACAGAGGCCTTGGAGCCATATTGCCAAAGGTCAGATCACTGTAATGGGAGGACAAAGCATCCTAACGAACTAATCTAAAGAGTTTCCAAGAATCAGAGATATTAAAGAAAGAAAATTAAGAGAAAACTAGAGAATAACAATATAGCAGAATGAAGTTCATCTCAGGATTAACACGGTGGTGGTTGAAAACAAACTGGAGGGGCTTGAAGCAGAGCTGCATCTAGTTGCAAAGTATATGAGAAGAACGAGGTTTCCACCAAAAATCTGTGAACATTCTAGCAGCTTCCAAAAAGGGTTCTGGCAGCAACTCATGTGTATCAATAAGAGACCACAATGAAGAAATTGTTCTAGGATTCTTGTCAGTTAAAAAGCACGATTACAATGCTTAAAAGGAATATTTTCCAGTTAGAATGCAGACAATCTGGTTTTTCAGCTTTCAGGCACAAAGGTACGATGGTGCTTTTCCTAAGGTCAGCAAAGCGGGGGACAGGGAGGACGACACACTATTTCACACAGAAATGTTGTGAGAATTTAATTTTCTTTTCTGTTCTTTTTAGACCCATTGCTAAATTTTTAACCCATTAGCAAGATTCTCACAAAGGTTTCTACAAACACTTTACTGAAAGGGAAAATGTGGTATAATGCTACATAAATCTTTACAACTGTGAATGCTACCATTTTTAGGACTATTTATCTCTGAATTTGCATGGGTGGAAAACTTTTCATTTTGTTTGTTTGTTTGCTAACTGCCTTTCGATGAACTGCTTACAATAAATGGAGAAATCTCCAAATATTCTGAACTTGTAGTACTTTCAGTAGCTTTCTTCTCTTTCCAAGGATTATAAAAAACATTATACCAATGCTAGGCATTTTGCTCATAAAGTCATTGTAATAATTTCCTAATCTCCTCCCACTCTAAAAAACAAAAAACTTTATCAGAATTTCTTGAAACTCTTTCCCAAGGCCAAATTAAAACTACCAATGAATAAAAAAGGCAAAAGAGGTAAGAAAAATTGTACCATCCTTAAAGATATACTTTAAAAATTCATTTTCCACTTTTACTAAACAGTATCATCACATTCAACTACACTCCCCCCCCCCCAATGGTTAACACTGTCAAAAAGATTTTGACATAGACAGGCTACCTACAATGTTGATATTCCACAAATTCTCTATCATTAGAACTTGATTGGCCATCTCTTCCTGTTCTGGAAAAGTAATAACCAACCAAAGAAAGACAATCAGCAGATATCATCAGCACTTGCCCATCTTCAGTGGTTCCAAATTACTCTGGATTTATGTCCATACTTTTATTATTTCATATATGTGTTGCCGCTGATATGTTAAGACACTATCTAAGAAAAAAATAGCAAACTAACTTACAGCACTTGTTTCCTCTGCCAATTTGTATAATTTTAAAAAAATAGATAGACTTTCCCTAGTTTACATTGTACACTATCAAAAACTATAATTTCTTCCTCTCCAACTTGTCAGAATCAGAAACTAATTAAAGAATGTGCCAGAGTATTATTATTATTATTATTATTATTATTATTATTATTATTATTATTATTATTATTATTATTATTATTATTATTATTATTATTATTAACAATAAGCAGACCAGGGGTTGTGCTGAGTTTATTTAGTCACTAGGGTCCCCTGACTGCAGCTACACAGTTAAGAATTTAACTCCAACTGTTTTTCAACAGGATAATTGAAAGGACATCTATTTCCTTACACAAATTTTTGGACTTTAGCGTGCTTTATCAGTGGAATGTTGTCCAGCAGTACATTTTAAAATGTCATGTTCCCCGATGACAGGGTCAGGTCAGCAACTTTTCCTTTAGGCTGCTGTAAGAGATTTCCTTGACATTTTGTTCATAAAGTCACTTGGGTGAGCTTGGAGTTGAATGCTATTATCCAATGGATTAATATCTTACTAGACTCTCTCCAAAGGAGCTTATGTGCAACTGGAGAATGTTATTGGACTCATGGTTCCCCTTGGATGGTCCATCCAGAGGAGGACATAGATAGAAGCAGTGGTGGGATTCAAATAATTTAACATCTGGTTCTCTGCCCTAATGATTTCTTCCAACAACCAGTTCACCAAACTGCTCAGAAAGTTAACAACCGGTTCTCTTGAAGTGGTGCGAACTGGCTGAATCCCATCACTGGATAGAAATGAATTTGCCTAGTTAGAGCTAATATGCCAATTGTGCCCTTTCTTTGAGGTTGATTTTTTTTAAAAAAAAATGTTTATAATATACAATACAAAAAAAGAAAAAGAAAGAGTAGGAAAAATAGGGGAGGGAAAGGGAAGAGTACAGAAAAGGGAAAAAGAAAGAACATGCATTGACTTCTGACTCTCTTTGGTGCAGTAAAATAAAATAATAACATCCAACCTCAAGTTTTTACTTTTACATAGTAATATAAACTAGCCATTTCTATATCAACAACCAATTGTGCCCTTTCTTGAGTGGCAGGCAATAATTACCCTACTCTCTTTCCTTCTATATTACATTACTTCTCTGAGTGCCCTTGAAGACTATTCAGAAACTGTGTCTGTTGCAGAATATAGTAACCCGCATGCTGACTGGTGAGAGCTGGTTCCGTAGTATACCCCCTACACTGGAACCATTGCATTGGCTTCCAGTATGTTTCTGAGTACAATTCAAGGTGGTGGTGCTTAAAGCATTTCCAAACATGGGCTAGAGTGTCTTTTCCATAATGCTCTGACCAACCTGTTTTTCTGTACAGCAGGTTTTTTCCTATAGAAGCTGTAGGTTTCTTCAGCTGGGGAGGGGGTGGTAGCCTGGAAGCAGTACTCCACTACTGCTTTAAACCTCCAGAAAAAGCAAACTCCAAGTTTTAGATAGCCATCTCACATCTCCAGGAAAGCAGTTAAAACTTGTCTTTTCAGCTAAGCTTTAAATTTTTGTCTATTGTCTTCTAATTCTGGATTTATTTGGGTTTATATCATAGTTAGTTGTGGGTTTTAAAAAAAATATTTTTATTAAGTTGCTCTCTAAACTACCTAAAGTTGTGCAGTATATAAATACTGAAACATAGACACACTCTCTCTCTCTCTCTCACACACACACATTTCTGAAATTAGAAATCAATAGCAAATTCCTATTAAAATCTGCCTTGAGTTCAGCTCTAAGTAAATAAGACAGCAATGTACAGCCTCATGTATCTAGATCTACATTCAGCTAAGGCAACAGAATCCATATGGCTATAAGATCCCCTGCATTTCATTAAGTCCATTCTGTCTGCCAGTCTAAGTGGATATAAGGTCATGCCACCAAATGGGATATGCTGAAATTACACAGAATAGTTATGCTATTCCTCAGTGCTGCCCGTGCCATACCTATGATGATGCCTAGTTTAAGTCTCTATGGAGATTATCACTTATCCAGGTCACAGTTGTCCCAAAGATGCTTTTTCAAGAGGCAACTGGGCTTTTTGATTTTTCTTTGAAGGCGTTTCGCTTCTCATCCAAGAAGCTTCTTCAGCTATAGAGCTGAAGAAGCTTCTTGGATGAGGAGCGAGACGTCTTCAAAGAAAAACCAGAAAGCCCAGTTGCCTCTTGAAAAAGCACCTGTGGGTCCTAGTTTAAGTCATTCCACTGAGCTATCTTCACTGGCAAAATAACTCTATCAATCAAAACTGGTCAGGCTGACAAAGTCATGGAGGCATAGTGCTACTTCTGTTGAATCCTATAACCATTTAAGCTGGTGAATCTTAAATAAAAAAAACTGTATCCAAAGGTAGCAACAGCATGTGGTTGAGTGACAAGGTTTTTAATTACGAAAAATAAAACAAGCATTCCATAAACAACTTCCTGCAAAACCTGACCATTCCTAATCTAAGAGAGCAAAAGCAAGACAATACATTAATCAAAAAAAATATCTGTTTGTCTTAGAATAATATTTCTAATCATCCAGACATAAAATTCTAAACACAGTGAATGACCTAAGTCACATTATAAACTCCATACAGGGGCAACATACAGGATACTTCTTAAAACAGTATTTATTTCCAGCTCAAATGCCTTTGTTAGCATGCAATATATGCTGCATTTGCATGGCAAAGTGTCTATTCAGAAAAATAAATAGAAACTGCATTGTGATTTTTAAATGCTTCTCCCCCTCCCCCTTGTTAAACTGCAATCGCAATGCCCGATAAGAAGAAAATATTTGCAGCAATGCCAAGTACCTGAACCATCTGAAGTGGCTGGCTCCAGCGAAAAGGATCAGCATGAAGAAAGTGTGCGGTTGGGAGAGCTGTTCGAAGACCCAGTAAATGCTGCTCCTGTGATTTCCACAATGCTAGCACCGCACACCAAGCGGTGGTTAAAATTTAAAAAGCGAGACCATCGTGAAGTCTGGGCTGTGATAAGAATCTCTTGTCTCCAAGAGCAAGCAGCCTCAGGAGAAAGTCACACAAACAATAAGGCTTGACAGAGTCTCCGGAGGCTAAGCTAGTACTGTACACTCTGAGGGGAGAAAACTGATGTTCTTTCCCAAACGGAAGAACTGAACACAGCCTTCCTCTTGACTGGAATTCAGAAAGATTGCACATTAACAATTAATACACTTTAAATACCACCAAGAGGAGGCTGGTTTACATCATTTTGAATAGTAAAACAGTACGTCCCTGCCAGAAGAGCAGTGCCTGAAAACTGATCTTAGAGAGTATTGTTAAGTAAAATTAAACATGCCAGGATGAATAATTGGTGAAATGTGTTGCTGTTAATTGTTTGCTGATTCAGAGAAGCTCCCGAGCTTGTCACAGTTGCAGACTGTTTAGTTAAAAATAAACTACCAAGTGTTTAATCCATTCTATTATGGATACATTAGAAAGGAGCTAGAGCATATAATTAACCCAATATATAGTCTAGGCAAATTTTAATAACTATATTACTCCATATATGTGTTATTTTCTCTACCATACAAATATAAATAAATAATCCATATTAATGAGAGCTGCTATTCACTCTATTTTTCTTATAATTCATAGCCAATGTAAAGGTTTAGCAATGAATAGAGTCTGCTTAGTAACAAATGCCCTATAAAATTTGGCATTTGGATATTATAATATGCAAAAAATACCTATGGATCATTCATAAGTGAAATGGAAATATGAAAATATTCTTCTGAATATCTGAACAGATAACTTCAGAGTTGCCTGAATGGGCAGCAAATGGATTTGATAAATAAAATAAAAACTTAAAACATATATAAAGGATTTTAATTTTTATTCAAATAATCTATCGTTTCTTAAAAATATATATATTTAAACAAAATTTAAGCAAAAATGTTAAGCTAAAGCTTAATGGTAAGCTTACATTATTTTATTTTTGAAATATCATAATTGCATTCACTGTTCCCACTCAATCTAGAGATAATAAATAATAATATTCTTATTTCTATGCTTGAACTATTTAAGCAGAGCAATATAATTACCCCTCAAATTACAATATTTAAGACTGATACACCAAATAATAGGGGCGTCAGCCCTGCATTTATATTCTTTTTAGAATTTTGGCCTGCCACACTTTCTATTATTTCATTGTGCTGTTTCTTTAGTATAGTTGATGGGAGGGGGGAGTAGAGAGGAGTGAGATTGTGGAATGTATTGTTTTTTATTCTTTACTAGAAGCAAGGTCATCCTTTGTCTCCGCACCAGTACACTTGACCGGAAGCAGTTGGGCGTGGACGCCAGTGTGGAAGAAGAAGATTGGACCATGTGATGGATTCTGGGTGTGGGGACAAGATCATGAACTTTTAACTGGGTGGGATTCTGATGTAACTTCCAGAATTGGTATTCCATAGCACGATGCCAACATGTCTGTCTTATTAAATTGGAACTCATCAATAAATTTTCTTTTTCCATGGGAGCAAGAGAGCCACTTTGGTGAAGTGGTAGGGAATGGCAAACCAATTC